ACACTGTCAGACCCGAAGCCGGAGACTTGTCGTATCAGCATGTGCATCAACAAAATCTCAGCATGGACTATCAACATATGCAACATACAAACACAGTCGACATCGCTCCAGTCAGTCCGATCAGTCCATTCACCATGCCCAACGCACCTGGCACATGTGATAGTTACTCCGATGTCAGCACGATGCCATCTCCCCAAGCTTTTTCTCGTCTTGGGAGCATTTCATCCATGTCTTCATGGTCTTGTTCCATTGATAGCCCGTCCTCGGATCACTCCGAGACGCGGCATTCAGATGTCTCAAACTGTCTTGGCCCGGACCCTTATGCCTCGCCCCTGCACACGTCCAGGTCGATCTGCGAGATGAGATCCCCACCTGTGATGCGCAATCTCTCAAAAGAAAACTCCGTGTCTCTTCAGCGGAGGGTTCCGAAACCAAGAGACCAGCCATTCAGAGCCGCCTTGCCTGCCGGAACAAAAATTATCAAAAAGGCGACTGGCGAGTGTGACTACCCAGGATGCAATAAAGCATTTCGTCGCATTGAGCACCTCAAGCGACATAAGCAAGCGTACGTATATTACCAAATCTGAATTTGATAAGACATACATCTGACAAAACATAGGAAGCATGGTGAGGGAGAAAACAACTTCTCCTGCGAGTTTTGTGGAAAGGATAATTTCAATCGGTGGGACAATCTGCAGACTCATCGCAGGCTGCATACGCGAAACAACAAACGCTATCGCAGCATCAAATTTGTCCCTGCTGCAGTAGCCATAATTGAGGAGGAGGACCTTACCCGAAAGAGAAGAGTGACGCTTAGGTCTAGGCGGTGAAAGAACAAGCCTGGCGAGTTCACACATGAGCACGCGGGGTTTATTCTGGTGAGGTGATCTCTCAAAATTCAAATGAATTACCTATTGCAAGCACGAGGTTTTACAAGTTCTGGAGAAGATATGGAAATCACAAGGAAAACAGCACCGAACTTCTATGTTAGTGGCCCAGATAGCAAGTATTGGAGGGATTTGTCATTCTTGTATCAACATTTATCATTATCATTATTGTACTTTAAAATCTCACGTTATATACCCCAGTACCAACATGCATCCAGATATCTCAGCTTGGCGTTTTCGGTGTTTACTTCCATTCATAATTTGCTCTGAGACTTGCTGAAACTTAGTCTGCCAATAGAGAGCGCTTCCCAGTCCCCGGTAGATTTCCGAGCCTTATTGCAAGCGAAATGGGACTTGTGCATATGTGAGGGAGGTACGGCGTACGTAGGCTTGGCTACCTATATCGGTTTCCAAGGCTGCTTAGTAGACCAAGCTAGTGGCCGGCTAGCTCCCCGAGATGCTGCTAAAGTCGACGTGCCCCTGTCTCTGCTGACTGCCCGATTACTAAACACTAGCTCGTTACGAGGGGGGCATAACCCCTCGATCGCTCACACACACTCTCTACACGGTAGCCCAGATCCAGTCGAAGTGCCCTGAGCTGAAGTTGAACAATCCTCTAAGAATCAAGGATAAGGACGTCATTTGACACCCGCCACCCACCTCTTTGGTTCGTCTGTACCAAAGATCGGCGCTATTGAAACCTGGATTAGCGCCGAGATTGGGGTGTGCCACATTTTAGCACAAGCCTCGTCTACCGGACCCAGGAAGGGATGCCGTGTCAGCGGCCGATGACTCGTTAGGCTAGAGCATCGAGGAAGCCAGATTTCATGGAGGAAACTTCTTCAATCGGAGAAAACAAGTAGCGGCCGATAGAGCGCCGATGGAACGATCTCTGGCGGCCCTTCCCTAGTGGCATTTGGGCGACAGTTACCGGTAGTTAGCCACTTTAACTACAAGTTTAAACGCATGTCGGCACTTGATATTGACTGCTCTGTTCTCTCGAGTTAAGGGAATTGACAAGTGATCAAATTTTCAAGACACCTCTTATCGTATTGATGTCTGGGGAGTAATTAGAATGTCACCCAGTCACATTACTCGCCATTCTCCCGGTGCCCCAGATCGATCTGCGCCATATGTCAGATCCCTTGCCCCTTCACATCCCCCAGCAATCAACTTCACGTGCGCCACACAAGAGAAATCCGAACAGGGGGTGGCACTGTCCCCCCGATCTACACCCCACTCCCGCCGCCTTTGCTCCGTAGATCACTTCCGCTTCAGTCTCAGTCTCAAATCCTTGACAGACGCGGAATTTCAGTAGAGGTCACTTGTTGGTTATTTCCCGGCTTCATTCCTTTTAAACCGGTAGTGTCTACGCCTGAGATCTCGATGTATTGCTCGGTATTTCACCCGGTGAAGACACATGGTCATACTTAATCTCGTTGCCATTGCAGCGTGCACCATTCGGCACCAGCGCGCAGCTAGCATCAGCTGTTAGCCAGATGTGTTATTCCCAGCCCTGATCAGCACTGATAATTTAGCGGCTAGCATCCCGCGACCTTCCCTCGCCCTACGCACTTAAAAGGTTATTCTTTGATCGACCTTGACGCTTTCACCCTTCTGTCAACATCCTTGGCTTCCGTGCCTCTCGAAGCATCTAGCGCCCGCACAATCATGTCTTTCACAGCCTTCAACTCGTATCAGCTTGATACATCCGATATCTTGGATGCGCAAGATATTCAGCCTCCAAATGACTACTATCAATACAGTCCATTCAATACTTGCCAGGTTCCAGGCATGGCTCAGTATGGCATGGGTTCCGCTGAAGACTTACAAGAAGCCGAGGAGTCAAAGTCAAATACCAGGCTGAAGCTCGGTTACAAGCGAGCTTCATCAGCGTGCAGTAAGCAGCCTTTCCTACGCCCAGCTTGGGGCGTCAAGGCTCATGCCTCTAACCAGTTTTCCAGAACAGTGCAGGCATCGAAAAATCAGATGCATCGCCTCTTCTTCTGACGCGCAAGCTCGCTGCGTCAGCTGCGTTCGGTTGAAGAAAGAATGCAGTTCTTACCTGACGGGCCAGTCATCTACTGAAGGCTCCAGTCTCGTTCGAATAGCCAGGTTCTCTCCTGGTCCGGATCCAGGCTTGCTCCCATATAATCCATCACGGAATTCTGACAGCATGGATCGATATATAGACGGCATAAAGTCATCTCTGGATCCGTCCGAAATAAGGCCTACATCTCAAGGGATACCAGTTAGCACTGGAATACCATGGACAGACGGCTTTGCACCTGACATGAGAGGTTTGTTCACCCCCAACGACACAGCCCTTGGAGCCCATCTTTGCTAACACCTCTTCCTAGTATCTACTGTGGCAAATCCAGGAAATCTCATTATGAGAAGCCAGAGTCTTCCAGGTACGAGTGTTCGAGTCTTGGGACAAGACTTGAATTCAAACGCAGCTGGGTTCGACTCAACCCAGGGGGTACAGCTCTCAGAAGCCCCTGCAATGTCACAATACTCAACACTGGCGGACATGTCTAGTCCATCGACTTCGTCGGTTTCTGAAACGGCAAATCCTCTATATCAACAGGATTTCGGCTTTCCATGGGATTCCAACTCGCATGCACTGCCGATGCGATTCATGCCCGGGTTTTCTGATTCTGCAAATATGGGTGATATGTTCATCGGTGGCGGAGGGGATGTTTTTGATTTTAATTCGGGCCCGGGGCCCAGTACGAATCAGTCGCTTAATCTTCAGGTCAACCCAGCGGCTCCGGGTCGCAGTCAATCGCTTCCTTATAACGGATATGCCGTTAATACATATTGGGAATGATGATTGGGAGTGTCTATGGCGAGAGCGAGGTCGTTCAGTGTATGTATTATTTCCGTCGGAACTTGGAACGTGCAGGATTATATGGCATGGCGTTTATTACACCGTTGAAGGAGGTACTGGGTTTGGGTAAATTGCAAGGCTTCATAGACTGTTTTTCTACTGATAAGGATGAAGTTATGGGACGCCTCGTCGTCAAATTGGCATTCGGTACTTGGTTTAGAATGTATTATAAACCTTCTTCTGTGGCACTCTTTTTTGAGTATCTGTGACCTTGTCTCTGTGTGACAACAGCTCTCTTTCCAACGTCTTCATCATCCTCATTTACGTATATTTGTTTCGTTAAAACAAATATTTGCAATATTCTTATCTTATGTGCGGTCGGTCAACCACGGAGAATAAACATTGTCCAAGAGACAGCCTCCTCATCTATGATTAGTCCAGTTACGTGGTAGAGGACCGGCAACTCTGGTACACTGCGTTGGTGGGTCCTGTAGGAGAGAGAGACGTGTTAGTGTTGGCGGGCCTCAGATTATCGTTAACTAGAAGCGGAATAGAAGGACTCTTGACATGAGTATATAGTGGCGTGCTAATGAGACAGCAGGCGAACAGCAGATTTCGAAATCATGTCTTGCTTTGCTTTTTATTCTCGGCACGAGATGCAAGATATCAAGGACTGCCCCCACCGCGGAATGTAAGTCGACTCACCCGAGCGCCACCAAAAACAGTGTTGGAGGCGGTCAATTAATTGGGGGCTTAATTGTGGCCGTATATCTGCCAACAATCGACATGGCACTTTTCTGTTCCCCCCCCCTTTTTTTTCGTCTAGAAGGACGGCTTGGCTTCTCATCCCTACAACAGGTTACACAAACTCTGCACCATGAAGAAGTCATCTCGACATTCAGACGATTCTGGTCCCTTAAATTATCAGAAGCTACCATCTATAGCAGAGATTATTCAAGCTGATCAGTACCGCGCTGGCCGTAGCTTGGGTACTCCACCAGCGTCTCCGTCCCCTGGTCCATCATCCATCAAGAAAGAGGAGGATCCTCCACCCCAGCCAGTTCGTCCCCTGTCGAACTTATCTCATCGCTTCCGTGGTTCCTCCACCGAAATTTCACTTCCTCGCGCAGGCAGCCTTGATTTTAATCCACCTGCACAAGCCCGACATCAACACGTCTTGGACTCTTACCCTGATAACCAGACCTACAAAGAGGCGTTGGGTCAAGTATGGCAGGCATGGTACCACGACTGTCTACAACAGTATTAACCATGGATAGATCATGTCACTTTCTCATACTATCTACAATTTTGCTCAGGCCAACCAGAGCACTGCCTTGCAACAACACACCATACCTGTGAATCCTGCCAGGCTCCCGCGAGAACAGGAGGTCAGTGATATGTTTAGATATCTGGAAAGGACCAAGCAGTTATTGCAGCAAGTCGGTCCACCACAAACATCTTCAGGGCTCCAACCAGGTCTTCAGCCTCCTCAGCAACAACACATGATCAGTATGCCCAATCCCATGACGATACCAGTGAATTCATCGGCAGGAGTTCCAAGGCCAGATCTGGTAAGTCGTCATTTGACGGAGCTGAGGACATGTCTGACGCTCAACAGCCCGTGGTTCTTTCAACACGATGTTGCAATTGTAGTAGATTTGTTGCTCGCGCATCGCGACAGCGATCTCATAGGGGACCGACCTTATGCCGAGATTGTACTTCTTATCAAACGAGGCAGGATGCTAAGCGGAGCTCTAGACGTGATCGGCCACTCTGAAGCCAAGTGCACTCAGATCAGCATCGCTAAGATTGAAGGACAAGGGGTCCAAAGTTCTCTGTATATGCTATTCACTGTTATATTAAGAGATTTTCAATTACTTATATTTAATCAACACTTCACTTCTGGCTATCATTCATATAACGAGACCCTTGCAAGTACATTGTCATATGTCACGAGCCATTGTCGAACTAGATATTATAGGATTTTGACCTGTAGAGGGCTCAATAATTAGACCTTAAGAGTTTTATCTTATCAAGGCAATGAGACCGGGTTGGCTTATCACGTATAAAACAAGATACTCCGGCATGCTCTGATAATAATAACCATAGACTTCGTTCCGACTGACGTGATGTTGTCTTCAGATTACTGGCTAATTACAAAGTAGTATTTACTGGAATATTATCCCCCAACGCTTAGCCTTCTTCGAGCAAGCAGGCCAGGCCATGTACTCATTTTCAATTTGGTCTCTCAAGCTCAGCTTGAGTGGTGGGTCAGGAGGAGCTCCAGCTGTGGTGGGGTTCAGAATCCATGTATGGAATGAGACACGATGCGCCTCGATGATGGAGAAACGTATTAAGCTGTCTTCAACCTCGGACGATTCTAAGACTGTTTCTTCAACATCTGTCAACTCTTCTTCATCTTCGGTAACGGTCCCACTCTCGCTGCAGCTAGGCTCAGACCAGTATGATGCATGTGCTGAAGGAGGTTCCAGATATCCAAAGGTGTTATGCCTAAGAGATTCTGTGTCGCTTTCACATGAGATATCCAAGCTGTGCCCATGTGGAGAAGAAGTCCGAAGAGGATCTTTTGGGGGGACAGGAGGAGGCTCAAGACTTCGAATGCTATCATCATCAGACTGATGTGTCTGCATGACAGCAGGCTTTGCTTGTTGAATTTGCTCCGAAGACAGGAAAGGCCGCTGACAGAGTTTAAGTGGAGGTCGAAGGATGCGACCTGAAGAAGCAGAAAAAGAGCGTAGCTGTGAAGCAGCTTCTATCTTTAGATTGCCCCTGGGGAAGGTCTCGGGTACAGAATAGGCCGACGAGATAGATACTGGTCTTAAATGCGAGTCTTGAAGCGAGACTTCGTGAACAGGGGTATAATGAGGGTAACAGCGCCTTTGATTTTCTTGGCTCTGGTATGTTTTGGCTTGTAATGTCGTCGTGGGCCAGCTATGTAGTGCTTTATGTGATTGAAATGACATCGCCATATTGGTTCTTAATTGACAAAAAGGTTCTCAAACGGTGGTCTGTAGAATCGTGTTTGGCTGGGTCTCGATGAAAAAGGATGAGTGGATATCAAGGACTTCCTGAGCCTAATGAGGGGAAGAAAGGGATAGGTACAGCTTCTGTTTCAAAGAATGTCTTGTAGGTTGGAGAAACGACTGTATTGCATTGCCAGAATGTGAGGCCACTGGAAGAAGACTTTAATATGCTGGAGGGAGTTCTTTCTTATAGAACCCGTCAAAATGTGGAAGATCTGGAGCTGCCTTCCTGTATATGAAGTCCATATTGCCTTGATTCTACTAGCTACGGCTTCCATCGACCGATTTCAGCTTCAACCACTTCCGTCTTCGGCTAGTTTGCTCTGAGATGCGGCTGACTGTGTGCCCTATGGGCCTATCACCGATGCAAGGAGAGCAACTGGAATGCAAGACTGACTGTAGGGATGGCGGCTTTCTAGGTCACACCTGAGCTGCGATTGGCTCACTTTTAGATTTTCAACTCAGGTAACGATATCGATCTATATGCTTTCGTCTCGGATCCTCGATCTTGTACATACGCGAGACATTGAGAGATTTTTGGAGCTTCGTGGTGTCGTAGATTTACAGTGATCGCTGTCCCGTGTCTTACCTATAGGGACGTCATTTATCCTATCCGTCCAGCATAGAAACCTGCTTTTGACCCGGGAATGAATTTTCCCAAGTGGCTGGACGAATGCGCTGCCATCAGCTGTTGCGCTCTGCGTATTGTGAGAATCGAAGTTTTGAGTGATGCATCGAGGATGCTTTGGTCTTCTCTATCATTGGCAGTGCCTTACCAGGACGCGTTGAACATGTTGAAGCATGAAAACTTGCTATATCCAAGGATGAGGTTTGACAATGGAAAGATGAAACACGGATATTAGGGAACTAGCGTGTCGTAGTCACCTCAAACTTCGTCATCATGACTTGCGGCGCGGAAACATCACCCCACAACTGAAGTCTAGGCCTACAACTAAATTCTCCGTCGTGATACAAGCTCTCAGCCACAGTTCTCTGCTGAAGATAACGCTTCTAGCTCACAAGTTAGACATTATACCAAAATGCCTGACCAATCACTACAGTCTAGGTCTGCCCTTGGACCCATTCGGAGAAATCTCACAATACTGTATAATCAACCAACGCTTATCAAGCCAAACGGCAAGTATAAGGAAATCATTTCTATTCATAATCCGTTTCCTCAGATAAGTGAAAAATCTACTTCAGATCAGTGCTCATTGCGCTAGAATCTGGGAATATATATTACGAGTCTGTTGCCAAATATCAGTATTAATTAACTGTAACTCTTCAAATTGATGAAATTTACCCTGGACCTTCTATAACACAAACAGAAGCTCCATACATCATCCAAATATATTAAGAAGTTAATCTGGATGAGAAAAATTGATATAGCAAGTTTATGATTATGATCAACCGAAACAGTAGGTACCGGAGAATATGGCACAACCTCAGGAAGACATAGACATCACAACCCGTCGTGAAGTTCTCAGGTAGGTATTCATTTGAAACACGTTATTTATTCTTGCCTATGGACAACCCTTGCGATAAAAGCCTTCTGAAAGAGGCCTGACGCCAGGTCAGTTTGAAGTATAGGCTAGTCAATGCAATACTTTTATATATGTCGATTTATGGCCAGAAGCGCCATATCGCTTGATGTAAGTGAGATTCTAAACCTGGTTGAAATCTTGCATTTCTTTTCTCAGTAAACTGAAGTTCCATGGAGGATGATATGCGTTGATTGCTAAAAGTCTGGGATATACTTCTACCATGTTGGTGGGTAGCAATGCACCAAGGTAGACCAGAAAGAGATATGATCAAACGGTGGAGGATCGTCTTGACGTCAACAAAGTCTTGGTGCGTTTTTGAAGCTCATCTCGATGCGCAGCTATGTCTGGGCTGGTTTAAGGTAGCGTGAAAATAATCAAACAACTCTTACAGAATCAGGTTTGACTTCTCTTTTATTAATAGTACCAATGTTTACACTATGAGTAGTATTATTTCTATGAGTTTCCTGATCCAACATCGCCATATTCACGGCCCGAAAAGGCATGCCAGTTATTGATGGAGCAATATGGAAAAAGGCCGAGTTCGAGCGGCGGGACTCGGCGTCGCTGTTTGCCAACTCAATCTTGCCTCTCAACTGTAATCACTGAGAGGAAAAGGAGACTGCAAGGGATGTCGACGGAATACCCATTCCTTTCTCCCAATGCTAGCAAGTTTGACATCTGTTGTTTGCAACGCACTGAAAACAGCCAAGGGAGCGCTAGGAGAAATTTGCAATGTGAGGGGAATGAACACGACGACTGAGACTCATTTTGAAGTCATAGCGAGAGGGAGACTGAGGCCGGAGATAAAGCCTCCCGGCGTTGATGTAAAAGGGCACCAAAAATTGATTCAAACTTAAAAAGCGGCTAAGGCTGAAGTGGAAAGATCTTCGGCACTCACTATGCGGGGGAGCACAATGGGCTTCCTAAGACACGATTCCGTTCCTCTGTTCCTGAATAAAAGGTCTCACTAGTAGATTGAGCCGTGTTTCACTCATGTGCCGTGTCTGAGGCAGAAGTAGGGCCGAATTTCTGGGTAGGGAGGATGGCAAAGTAAATTCCTCATGTTGGATCACTCCTTGCATTTGGGTCCTGTGACTGGTACATGGTAGAGTCGTTTTAGTGGGATGGAGTAGCCAATTATGTGGAGCGAGTGAGAGTATGGGGCTTGAGGTAACCATCCTGTCCTATAGGCTCTACGTGAGTTGCTCAAAAGCAAAGACTGTTCAGTCAGTAAACCCATTTCATACCATTACGTGGCAGAGTTGGGTAATAATACCAAAACAAGCAAATCTCTCTATACGAATGGCTTACATCTCGTGAAAATATGTCTCAACGACTATCGTGTTCTCGTCGTGTGCATACGCAGTCTACAGTCCCACCGTGCAGCCAGCGATGAGCTCCGCTGGTGTCTCAATGAGATTTGCTTGGCAGTACCATGCCGATTCCGAAGAGGATGGCCAACCACGGTGGGCATCGAAGCATCGAGTAAGGAGAGATCCAAGTGCTTCCTTCATACCAGTCTCCCTTAATCAATCCAAAATCCACCGTCAACCAGATATAAAAGGGTCGATGCAACTCTCCAAACCAGAACATCTCCTCATCATCAATCATCAGCATCTCTCAGCATCTCTTAGCATTCGTTCAGCTTTGATCTTCACCATTCTCTACCCCTCAAATCCACATAATCATTCTATAATATCTTCTGTCTTTGACAACTCAATACCTTCAAGATGCAGTACATGACCATCGTCGCTTTCCTCGCCGCCACCGTTGCCGCTGGCCCAACCATCCGGGCTTACCCTTCCATTGACCAGATCACGGTCGCTCAAGCCAACAATGCTTGTGGAAACAACATGCAGGTCACCTGCTGCAACAAGGTTACCAACACCCCTGCCGGCAACGCTGTTGGCAACGGTGCTGGTATCCTCAACAACCTGAGCCTGTTTGACCAGTGCTCCAAGCTTGACGTTAACGTTCTGGCTATTGCTAATGGCCTCCTTAACAAGGAATGCCAGGCAAATGCCGCCTGCTGTCAAAACAGCGGCAGTACTGTATGTATCTCCAACCCTTCTCAGTAGCTCTCTTACTAACACCTCGGATCTAGGCCCAGGGTGGTCTTGTCAACGTCGCCCTTCCTTGCATCGCTCTGAGCAGCCTCCTCTAAGCGCTTTAGCCAACACGTGGGGCGCCACATCTCTACCATGTACTATTCATCGGGTTGCGATCACGCCAATTTGGCGACTCCACAGTCTTTACCTTCGTGTCCTCGGGTGGCCGTCAATTTCCATCGCCTGAGTTAGTGTGTTATTTGTCATTGTTTTGTGGATTATTTGGGGGGTGAGAAAATGTGTCGTTGATGGTATGCATCTCACGGCAGGCTTGCAAGACCTGTCAGGTATAATTCATTCATCGGCAAGGGTCATAATTTAGAATTAGAACTCAATGATATCATTATGCGGCATTCAAAGATCAATTGCACCTGTGATTTTCTCTTTGCTTATCTTGTCAGTTGAGCAACACTGGATATTCATCACCCCGAAGCACAGAGGAAGAGTCTATCTTCGTGTCCGTCATGACGCTCTAGTGGCTCCTCAAGCTTCAGAGTATAAATAAAACCTATGCTAACATCAACATGCTTGGATGTTGTAAAAGCTTACGACTTGCTTGGCCTGTCCTTTGAACAGGTTTCACTGAAGTAAATGGAAGATGAAGAAAGTTGTGACGGGCAATTTGTCACATCGTAAAGAAAAGCTTCAAACACCGAGTTCATTTATATATAATAGCTTGATAGCTTCAATCTATAGATAGCGTACGACTAACACTGTTGAGCATAATTAAGTAATTCGCTCCCAAGTACAAATAGGACAGGCTCCGAGACCCTGCGAACATCTGCAGGAGACATTCCAATATCCCACCCAAGATCGTGCAGCATCTCCATTTCCATCGAGTTAATGTGCTCCAGGTTAAAGTAGTGAATGCCACTCTTATGCAAAAACCTCACCCACCGAGCATTGGGAGGAGGATTATCGTACAGATGCTTGACAGCAATAATCATAGAGGTAAGGGCTAAACGATACGAAGCGCTAGGAGTAGATCCAGACGCTCCAGGATGCTGGAGCCGCCAACGACCAAGATATACTGCAGAGGCAACCATGACGACTCGGGGTAACTTGAATGCCATCACCAGAGTGCGAATAAAAGACGACAAGCTAGGTAGAGTGTTTTTGATCGAAAGCGCCCCGCTGCAACTACATGTCTCTGTCGAATACTTTGGATGCCGGTGCAGATACGGGACAGCGTCAGCAGCCATGGCGGTGATATAGTTCATGAAGTAAAGGTCGACGAAGGCGTCTGTCAATGGCCGGGCCACGCTGTGACATGGCGGAATTGTTGAGTACGACGACATGCCTGTGAAAGTGATAGATGACTAATGCAAGAGATTATTTAGTGACGGTGCTCGAATAGGTGTGAGTGTGAACAATGGGGCGTGAGTGTTTGGGCCAAGGGGTTGAACAGGTAGCCAAGCTTGGGGCATAGACATTGGCTCTGTGAGCTATGGTTTACCACACATACCGTTGGACTTAGAAGGGCTGATCAATTTTGAGTAACAGATTGACCTGGAAAGTGGATTTGAGACGAGTTTACGGCGCCACGGACAGAATTCGACAAAGAAAGACTATTTGTATTGCTTAAGAAGTACAGTGGCTGTTATTGTTCATTATTGTCATGACGCACGTTTCAGCAACGAGTCCAAAAACAACTGAAATACGCTCTAAAAAGTCTCTGAACTTTACAATGACAGGGTATCAAAGACGGATGCTTTGGGTTGGCTGAGGGAATCAGCTGTTCCATCGATATCGAGAGCCTAACGAAGGCTGTCGAAGAGCATCATTTAATTCCTAGACTGTGTTGGATGCAGGGACCGATTACCTAGAATCCACGGATGTGGTATAGCTTCATTTTATGCCTTGGCTACTCCATACACTTGCTACAATGGGCAAGCGGCTTCCATGTGCCGAGGGAGAGGGAGGGTCTGCCGTGTCTGACTTGGATCAATAACTTGTATGCAATATTTAAAAGCTGGCTTGGGGTACCTGAGACACCCTTAAACGTTTGTTCGGCAGTCTCTTCAGATCGGTCCGATTGTCTGCCGTGTTTCTGAATGTCACTGGCCATCAATTGATGTCACTGTCTCTGAATGCGTTTCCTTTTCCTCAACCTTCAATATGCTACATCCCTATGTTTTGAAGACGTGGAATGCTGACAGTCTCTGATGAGTGTGATTTACTGTAATTTAACAAATCCCAGACTCACTACTAAATGGACTCATTACTCCCTTGATCTGCACCGTCTGCTCTTCAACATCTGCCAATAGTCACATACCACTGGCGATCTATGTTAACAAGATTCCCCTCACGACTGTGACTGTAAATTAGAGTAGTCCAGGCTAGCACAATACTCTTACTGTCATTCAAATTGGGAGCATCCCTTTGTGTTCAATATTTCCTTTTCACAGAGATGAGAGATCAGCGTTTGGAATCATCCTTGATAGTTGATCATTCCACTAGACTTACAACGCGCGTCTTTTCTATTGGCATGGCTTTTGCGTACCTGCATGTACAGCATCACCCCCTTGATGTTACCCATCTCCGGATATAAAATGTCTGATACTTACCAAGAAGTTCTAAGTATTCTCCATCCTTTCCAAACACACTCTTTTACCACTCATTACAACACGCTCTTGAACATTCTTCAGAATGCAGTCATTCCTTACTCTTGCGATGCTCTTTGGTAGCACACTGGCAGCTCCTCTGAATGCCGACCAGAACGAACTCCTTAGCCCCGAGAAACGTGAAGCCCTTCCCCCATCCGTCGTGCAGATCATCGACTTCGGCAACGGTGAAGACTCTGAGCCTTCTACCACCGATCCTTATGTCATCGAAACCGCTACCAGCACTACCGTTTCTGTCACCCCCACTGACTACCCGTTCGATGATCCCCTTGGATCCCCAGACCCCAACGGCCCAATTGGAGGGTTGGACAAGCGACAGCTTGAAACTGTCACAGGCCTTCTGGGACTGAAGACCGCAGACATGAACAAGAGGCAGCTTGACGCTTTGACTGGCCTTCTTGGAGGACTCAAGTCCGAAGGTCTTAACAAGCGACAGCTTGAAGCCGTCACCGGTCTTCTTGGCCCACTCCTTGGTGGTCTAGGTGGTGCACCACCTGCAGTGCCACCTCCCGCCCCCATTCCCGGAGCCACCACGACCGCGGAAGCTACTACCACCGCCACTAGTGCCGTTCCCACTGTCACCAACCTCGAGGACTTCCCCACGTTTGGTCCTGCATAAGTAGGACGGGAGGGTAGAGCGTGGTGTTAGGTCCTAGGACTGAGTCGGAAGGTCGTAAGGTGCGCTTCATGTATGGTCATGCCTGATGCCTTTGTCACTCTCTTGTTATTCTTATGGGGGGCTTTCAGGTTTTGAGTTTGGGTTGTCTTGATCGGGAGAATAGTGACAATATCTTGTACACCATAGAGGGGGAAGCGATCGTGCCTTTGGGCTCATCAATGGACATGGTCGGTTTTATGCTGTTAGGTATAGTTCTGAGCTGAAATCTCGATACTTTATTTGCGAACAACAACATTTGCATCGGAGTGGTCTTGTAGGGACATCTCTGAAATTGTGCTGAGTATTGCCGTCTCAATAACTTAAGTGTCCCGTTTGACTGCCCTTTAACAACACCGCCTAAATGCATAAGCGCACTGCTGAAAAGGAGAGCATACCTTTTACGGAGTCTATTTTAACAACCTGCATTAAAGTCTAATATTTCCTCAATGCCCTAGGCTAGCCTGTACAAATATTTTCTTTCATCTTTGTAAGAGACCAGTAAATGGGTATCTAGTCCATCGGTTCAAATAAGTAAATAGCAAGAAATATAGCAGTGGCGCTCTAGGGTACCACGTGATCGCCGACCTCGGATCCACATGAGCTCACGTTCTCGGTGGGCGATAGCCAAACACCAAGTCAAGACATCCCTCTTCAACAGGGAGACCGATAGCGCATTCAACGCCCGACATTGAAACACGAGAATGCCGTTGATGGCCCGTTGAGTTGACCTCAATGGCGTCGCGATCGGCTATCGCAGACCCCCGCAACAATGTATAACCGCGACTCCAGGATAATGCGCAAGCTCCTCGGCAAGGCTGCGACCGAGACCCCCGCAGGCGACCCGGCCAACCTTTCGATAACAAGCGCTCCCGCTTCTACAATCTCAGCCTCGTTTCGACCGTCCAAGTCGCAAGATGCCGTGTATCGAGCCGGTGTTCCGATATTAGCCCTCGATGTCTCCCCCGATCGACGAGCCGCCGTGCTGGCCGGTGGACATATTCTCAAGACAGTGGTCCTCGATGATCCTCATAACTTTAACTTCAACTTTCGCGAGGGCGTGGACTTGAGGGCTGCGATCACTGCTCAGCCGGCTGGCTTGAAGGGCAACCAGGCGGCGGATCAGCTCAGCATTCGCGATGTTAAATGGCACGGTGGTTCTACAATCTTCACGGCTTGCGCGAATGGCAAGATCTTCGCATACGATGTCACACGAGTCGGGTCTGGCGCAGCCGAGCCACTGGAATACATGCAGATGCAGGAAGATTCGCGCCAGGTTAACACCCTTGATGTCAATCCACATCTCAAGAGCTGGCTCCTTTCAGGCAGTCAAGACGGCATGGCGCGCGTTTTCGACACAGCGGCACCTCTCCAAGGACGATCGGGGGGCATCACCTTTCGGCAACGATTCGCGCCCCTCAAATGTATCGACTCGGTCCGGCAAGTTAAATGGTCTCCAAAGGTCGGACACGAGATGGCATGCTGTACTGAGGGCGGAGTGGTGCTGAAATGGGATGTGCGCCAGCCATCAAGACCGTTGTTGAGGATCAATGCGCACGAAAAGGCGTGCGCCTCCATCGCATGGCACCCGGATGGAAACCACCTTATCAGTGCCGGTAGAGATACGAAACTCCATGTGTGGGATCTTTCGACTTCAGCCGATAAACGACAGAAGCCGAAATGGTCTGTGACAACACCAGCGCCCATCTGGACTATCGCATGGCGACCTGGCCTGTGGTCTGCTACAGCGCAGAACAAACGCGTAGCTCAAATAGCAGTGTCCTACGATGACAGCAGCTCTCGTCGATATGGTACTTCGGCAGTACACATCTGGGACCTGGCTCGACCGACCATGGCATACAAAGAAATCGAGAGATTCGACGCTTCACCGGCTACTCTGCTCTGGCAAGACCAGGACATGCTTTGGACAGTTGGCCAAGACGGACTGTTTGCGCAAAGCGACGTCGCTTACGCGCCCAAGGTCATTGATCGCCAGTCTACCTCATCTATGGCATTCTCACCGAAAGGCGATGTTATGATGTTCCTTGACGAGCGATCCCATCAGAGCAGTCGGCCTCGACCTCCAGTCACACACCATGCTGAGATAGTGCCTCGCGGCCCCTATGGATCGAGCCCCAATGCCCCCATGCTGAGCATCAGCCGCAGCGACTCGGAGGAGGATGTCATTGGCAGTTTTCTTGGTCCTAGGCGACGGACGAGTCGAAGGAAAGCAGGACGCTCCACCAATTTGAGCACGACGCCACCTTCTGGATCTGGCCCCGATGATAACAAGCCGTTCCTGGCGCTTGACCAAGCCATCAATGTTACAGGGGTCTTCAAGACTCAGCAAACAATGGCTTTCGGTCGACTGCCTGCTGTGAAAACAGCGCAGATCTACCAATATCTCTCAGGATTATACCTTGAGACGCTCCGTCAGGAGCTCCCATACGTTAAAGACGGAAAGCCGCTCAATGAACGAGTCGGCGTCATTCTAGAACATTACGCTCGCGCAGCCGAAAGCGTTTCGTACTTCCGATTAGCACAGACTTGGCGCGTTCTCGCTTACACGGTCGGCCTACTCCTCGATCGTCGCGCTCAATACCACCTCGACCTCCGCCTCGGACGCTTCCAGAAGGTGAAGATAGAAGAGAGAAAGGGAAGTGGAATGCTGAAGCCCGTTGACTTTTATACTGCTAGTCGAACCCCCGGCGACGAAACGCCCAGACGTCCTTCTGGAAAGTCAGGGCTCGGTGGCCGCTCTTTGAGCACTCGATCACTCCTTGCGATGGGCTTCGAGAGCACGTCTAATGTCCCGACTCCGCTCGCGCGACCGGCCGACGCTCCAGATAATTCGAAAGAGCATGCACAACAGGTTGGCAAGAGACTTGCATCCGTCACCGAGCCTGATGAACTTCGTCTTGGGCCTGGCATAAATGACAGGTTCGAAGACACCCCCCGAAAGCGGCTCGACTCGGTTCCCATCTCTGATGTCAGCCATGAAAGCGAGAGCTCACAGATATCTAGCACTGAAGGATACGACTTTTACGACGCTGAGGTATTGCTCAAGGCCCTCGATGTTCCTCCGCCTAAGAAGAAGGAGCCTCTATCGTTGGACTCTACGATCCCGGAGGTTCAGAGGGTGACGCGACATGATTCGGACGAGAGCTTTGCCCAGATGTTTTCGACGTCTGATGCGACCAAGAAACCTTCGGCTTCGACACCGAGAGGCACCGGACCATGGCGATCGAGTCTTGCAAGACATGCCTCGGATATGGAGAAGGATAATGAGTACCCGAGTCACATTCGCGGCGAAGAGGTTCATGCAGATACGCCGACGGATTCGCCCAAGTCACGCCCGCAGAGTAAGAAGCCGCCGACAGACTCCCCAGAGGATCTTTTCTTAATATCTCAAACTACAATGGGAACCGATGATTCGTTCCCGTCGCAAACGTCAGAGCCCCTACAATCTGAACCGTCACCCCCCAAGATTGTCGCGGAGTCACTTCCAGCGAAGCGAGACTCCCCGCAGCCGCAAGTACTTGTTTCAGCAAGTCATCCAAATCGATCCAGCAGTCCTGCCAAGGACCTCTTTCCTGCGCAGAAGGACCTGCGGCCTCACATCGTAGAGACAGACTTTCTGCCGTGGGACGATGATCCTCTATATCCCTTCCCAACTACTGTTTCTGGCGAAAGTCCGATTGTTTCACCACTTGATCCCTACACCTCCATCACAGAGGCCTTGCACTACGAGTCGCGAACTTCTGCTGTTAATGCTTCGGCCATCGTGCTCTTTCTCAAGCCTCTAGTACCCGACTTCGTGATCGACTACCATCAGGCGAATGCAGTTCTGCGACAGCACCACTCGAGGCTGATGCAAATGGGTCTATTCATTGAAGCGTCGCTTCTACGGAACTTGTGCATCAAAGGATGGCCTGAAGGTTTGCCTCAGTGGGGCGAGAACTATACGGCAATCTTCACACCAGCGCAGCAGAACGGAAAGGTTAGCTTCCTCTGCTCCGCATGTAAGAAGCCTAGGGAGCTTGATCCCAAAGATGGGCCGGAAGCTATCTGGACTTGTGAGCGATGCCGCACCAGCATGGCGCCTTGCGCTGTTTGTGGCCATAGAGAGCCAACACACGCTGAATTCGCGCCCGTTGAACTACCAACTGCCATGGGCTCTCCAGACACCTGGCTCTCCCAATGGTGGTACTGTCCTGGCTGTGCACACGGCGGCCATGCCTCCTGTCTTACAGCATGGCACGCTGTTCTCGATCAGCCAGACTCTAGCGGCTCAACGACCTTCAGCGATGGCTGCTGTCCCCTTGATGGCTGTGGACACGCGTGCCTACCTGGTCGATACCGCGGCGAGACTAGCACGGCACGATCCGATGAGATTGGTCGCGCGACTGTAGAGAAGACGAGGGCAAGAGATGAGCGTGGAGCAAGCAGCAGTAGACGATCAAGTCCTCGTGCAGGTATGGACCGATCTGTCAAGAGTGATGGCAATGATATACCGCAGAGCAGAGCGGTAGGTATGGCGAGGGATGCGCTGAATAAGGGCAGTGGAGGGATCCTTAGCTCGAGCCCTGGGAGGGCTGTTGCGACAGGGGAGAGGGAGAGGAGGAAGAGTGTCAAGTTTGCGAGCACTGATTGATGGAGCTACGGTGGACAGTTATGTGCCTTGTGTTGTTACTATTAGCATGGCGTTTGGACGTGGAGTCATCCGTGGGTAGTGCAGTTTGGTCGTGGAGAGAGGTTATGGCGTTTTAGACACGATATGGCTGTTGGATGTCGTCTGTTGGAGATGAGCATGGTCGATGAGCATGGTTGAGCGATGAAAGGAATTACTTAGAAACATTTAACTGTTTGGCAATTGACAAACTTCTCATGATAAACTATCGTCTTAGGCAGCAGCAGTAAAGGCATTTGAGTTTGCTACTTCCATATGATGAGATGTGTTTGAC